GGTATTGGGATGTTTGTTCTTTGAGCTCAGAGCACTTCTGGTGCACAATTTGGCTACAGGTGGCTTGTTCACCAGCCTCACATCACCAGCCCTGGTGTGCGTGTCACTCCGCAACTGTCTGTGGTCTTTTGGGGTTTAATGAGACCTCTAAGCTTTTAGGTGAGTAACAAGCTATTTTATTCTTTGTGCTATGAAGGCCTGAATGGTTGCTACCAAGAAAACCCCGCTGGTCCAGCTGTAGACAGGATGGTCTAGTGACTACTCTGCACATGTAGTCAAAGTCTCATCCTTCATTGATGGTGCTCACCAAGGTGTGTCATGGTTTCGGGGGAGTCAAGCTCCCCCATTTCCTGAACAGCAGTGAGCTACTGCTGTGCTGGGTGGGTCTGGCAGCCCCTCCAATAGCACCCAGTAGGTGCCACTGAAAGGCTTTGAAAATTAGTGTCTCCAGTTCCCATCCTATATAGGAGCCTCCATCAAGGCCCATGAGGCTGCAAACCAGCCCAGGCACTGGGTGAGGAGCCTTCATCTGCAGGACCCACATGGCCAGCAGCTTGGAGCTGTCCTGGCTGCATCTGGGGAAAACCAGCAAGATCAGAAGGACATGGTGTATGAGTCCATCTTGGTGGGATCACCCCCAAACTGAACTGCCTTACATGAAATTCACTGCCCCAAACTCTCCGTATATTGCTAGCACGTAAGCATCGTGAGCAGCATCCAGAGGTCAAACAGTAGATGACCAGAGCCATGAGGCTTGCAAAAATTGCCAACAGCCTCCATCATGGTGCCTGGGAACCAGGTCTGTCAGTGCTGGCACTGCTTTGGCCTCCTGTGCCATGCCAGCCTGAAACGCTTATCTGCTCTCAGGCTCCACGGGGCTCCCTGCCTCTGTCTCCAGCTGGGTTTGGCTGCATGTCTCAGCAAGATGAGCCCAAGAAGTCCCAGAAAACTGAGGAAAAGATAGACAGAGGCTAAAGAATTATGCAGAAGGGATGGTGATGTGAAAAGCAGAACTTTTCTTGCAGAGAAAGCTCAGGGCCTTTTCCTGGTAAACTGTCACTGTGGCAAGTGTGCATGCTCTGCAACAGTGGCAGAAGGAGAAGGGACAGGTAGTGTCCACAAGCTGTTTTCTGGAACTGTGAGCCCAGAGCTCCTGACCCACACTTCATCTGTAAGAAGTGCAATGGAAGGAAGTTCAGTAATTTTCCTAAATTTTTGGTGACAGTTCAGGACCAATGCTTTTTTACTGCTGAAATACATGAGTGACTTGGGGTTTTTTTCATCTAACCTTCAGTAGTAAACCTGGTAGATGTTTGCTGAGACTCACCAGGGCATCAATCCCAGGACAGTGGAGGATCTGGGATGCCTGAAAAAAACCTTCCCACCAATCGGTTCCTCCAGATCTTCCCTGCGAGAAGGCAAGTTAAGGATCCTTAAAGTTAATGGCTTTTGACAGGCAAACAGTGTTCCTCTTGGCAGGGAAGGATGCTTATCTACAGTCACACAGGTCCTCGTGCTGAGATGGACACCACACCAAATGGTGGAAATGTGACAGGAGATTCTTCTTGCTTTGACCTTAAAATGTGCCTTTAAAGCTAAAGCAAATTCTCCATGGCCAGCTGAAAACAAAAGAGCTTTTTGGCCTCACTGTACCCAGCTCTGTCCTCGCAGAATTTACAAAACGGGCTCTGTTGAGCCTTGATCCTCTTGGATGCTCTTTGCCTCTGACATAGAAAACAAAAGAGCCCTTCATGATGTTAAAAATCAAATGTCCTTGTGAAATGTCTCCAGCAATGGCTGATGGGTCTGTTTTCCCCAGTCCCCTGGGGAAAAGGATTTGCAGACAAACCCCATGTGCAAGTATGGGAGATGCGGTGGGAGAGATTCTTCCAGGAGCACAGTCCCTGCACTGCTTCTTGGGGTTACCAAGCCAAGGCTTAGCTGTCACCATCTGCAGTGATCCCCACTGCAGAAGGCAAGTCCCCATGGGGAGGAAGAGATCCTGGGGAACACTGCAAAGAGCTACCAGTTGGGAAGAAAGGTGGTGATGTGCCTGTTATGGGCTTTCAGAGCTGAGACAAGAGGCAGGACCAAAGCCATGCTCTCTGGCACGACGAAGCCCATGTGCTGGTGCTCTCCCCACTGCCCACACATGGACTCAGCTGATGGCCACATCCAACCCAGCAGCATCTTTTAAGCTGCTTTGATTGTCAAGTGCCTGTCTCCTTGGGTTTTTGTTTTCACTTGGTTTGGGTTGCTTTTAAATTTTTCTCTCAGTAGCAGGGCTCATTTGCATGCTGACTGCCAGAGGTACGTTGCTTGCAGCTATTCAAGCAGGTATTGCAGCCAGTTTGTGGTTCTCAGTGTCTTTATCCTCGTGGTTACTTAGTGCTACTTCTCTCCCCACCCAAGGTGAAGCTCCTGCTAAGGTATTTTTCTCTAGGTCTGTTCTGCAGCAGCAGCTTTGTGATCATCAGGAAATGTTTTGGCATCTCTAAGGAGTTGTTTTGGATGTGCAAGTGCTGACTTGTCTCTAGGCTCATCCATGCTAATTGGGGGCAGGGAGGAGTGAAGCCAGGCGAAGGGCAGCCTGGCCATGCTGGGTTACTTTCTCCTCTTCTGCTGTCAAATCGCAATGGAGTTTCTTAAAGTGGTTGGTCTTCCTCACTTTCTCTGTGCTCTTTGTGTGTCTCACTCATTTCTGCCTGGCTCCATTGCCTTCTTTGCTCCTCAGTCACCTTGGCTGCTCATCGGGCTGCTTTTTCACCTGTTTGCCTCCTCTGCTCTCCTTTCTCCCCTTATACAGCTCACTCCTGCTCTGCACTCCATTCACCAGAAGTGATTTCTCTACAAGCTGTTTGTCTGGACGTGTGATGGGTGTAATGTCTGCAGAGCACTTGTCCTTCACAGTCCAAGGGGTGACCCGTCAGGGTGACACCTGAACCTCCTTTGGATGCTAGTGCTCGCTCAGCCACGTTCACTTGAGTCATTCAGACTTGAAGGGATGTGAAGGGGAGAAGTCTCCAAGCTGCCAGTCATCCCTGAGCCTGCCTGGACTGAGATTTGCAGTCCAGCTCTCATGGAAAATTATTCTTCCCTCCTCCTCCTCTTCCTCCTCCTTGCTTCAGCATCCCAAACCTTCCTATTTCAGAGCAGGGTTTGTGTCTGACTGAGGTCATGTTGTGCAGGTGCTGTGAGGTGAGCCTCTGGCTGGTATCAGCTGGGCAGAGCTTTAGATTACAATAAATTCAGTTTTAATACTTCAACAGTGAGTGTTCAATGCTCCTTAACTCCCTTCCCTTGGCTTGATAACTTATGTTGTGTTATCTTCAGCCAGACCAAAGCGGCTGCTGTGGTGGGAGGCAGCGTGGGAGCCCTGCAGACATCTGGAAACCTCACCCAAGTGTCTGAGGACCCCTTGCCACCCAGATCCCCCAGTGGGTCCCAGGTGCCCACCTGTTGCTGGTTGGGTACATCCAGCTGGATGCTGGTACCTAAGCACTCCAAGGGTTTGGGGGCTGCAGAGGGGCCACTCAAGGAGGGCATGCCCAGGCAGGAGCCACTGGTGATGTCCCATGATTTTCATATGTAGACTGGTAAATAAGCAGTTTCATTCTGTTTTGTTAAAATAAAGCCCCACTCTTCAGCACAGAGTTATTCACACATAGCAAAAAATAGAGTTGGTATGGAATGCCTGCCTGCAGTGTGCTCCAGGAACTGCAAAGGCACTCACTGGCACGTTGGGAGCAAGGGCAAGGCATTATTTATAGCCAGGCTCAATAAATTGTTCCTCCAAAGGTCTTTTTCCCTTTGAGCCCTCTTCCTTTTGCAACATCACTGCCCTTTTCCCTTTCCAGTCACCAGCAATGCTGCACAAATCGTGCACAAATTCACAGGGAAGTAAGCAGCAGCTCCTTCCTTCTCTGGAACCAAAGCAGAAGGCACCGTGAAGCAGGGACACATACCCAGAGGTGAATTAACTCAGCACCATGCAGCCGGAGATGAATTTCACCACTCTTGTCCCTGCGCTCTGAGAGACTTGTTTCCAAGCAGCCTGGCTTGGATCAGCACTGCTGTGCCCAGCAGGACTAGGGCAGGGATGGTCCCCCTCTACTCAGCACTGGGGAGGCTGCACCTCAAATCCAGAAATCAGTTTTGAGCCCCTCACTCCAAGAAGGACATTGAGGGGCTGGAGTGTGTCCAGAGAAGGGGAACAAAGCTGGATCTCCCTCAGCAGAGCCTGAGGGACCTGGGGCTTTTTAGCCTGAGGAAAAGGAGGCTCAGGGGAGATCTTCTCACTCTCTACAACTCTGTGAGAAGAGGTTGTAGGGAGGTGAGGGTTGTTCTCTTCTCACAAGGAACAAGTGATGGGATAAGAGGAAATGGCCTCTAGCTGCACCATTGGAGGTTTAGTTTGATATTTGGAGCAATTTCTTCCCTGAGAGTTTTGTCCAGGCCTGGCCCAGGCTGCCCAGGGCAGTGGTGGAGTCCCCATCCCTGGAGGGATTGAAAAGCTGTGTAGATGTCATGCTGAAGGACACAGCTTAGCGGTGACCTGGCAGTGCTGGGTTAACAGTTGGATTTGATGACCTTAAAAGTATCTTCCAACCCAAAGAGTCACTCTTTTTGAAAACAGAAAAACTGAGAATTTAAAGCCCAAAGACATATGCACTGTGATCAGCAGAGAATAAATCTATGTCCTTACTTATTTATGACTTACCCACTGTATTTTAAATAATTGATTTATCTAACGTCAGGCACTCGGGAGGGTAACAGAGAGCAGTGCTGCAGGGCCAGAGGGATGCAAAGAGGGAAACAAAACCCCGAGAAGGAGGTTTTGAAGAAGCTGGTTGGCAGTGGGGTTGCTTCGATGTCCAGCTTTGCTTTGGCTTATGCCCTGAAAAGCTGGGGGGAGCTACGTGGTGAGAGGTGAAAGGGGCTGTTGTTGGGTCACACCTCGCCGTGGCAGAGCCTAACCCCACCCACCCCTCATCTTCCAGCCCATCACTTCATCGTGGCAACCGCGTGCCAGGAGGCGGACTACGGCTGGATGATCCGGCACTACTGCCTGAAGCAGTTCCAGCTCAGCATGGAGGGCATCGGGCCGCGGCTCTGGTGCGACTGGGACGAGACCGTGGGGTAAGTGAGGCCCCTCTGCTCGGCCCAGCGCCGCCTGAACCCCTCTGGGAGGTCAGCGCTGGGCCTTAGATCACTGCCTGGGGAAACAAATGGGCCGTCCCACCCTGCTTTGCTGCTGCTGCTGCCCTCCTCCAGCCCTGCCGGGCCCAGCTGAAGGGGCTTCCCCATCCAAGTCACTTGTGAAGGGGACACAAAGGGAGTTCTGGAGGGGGCAGCAGTGGATATTGTCTACCTGGACTTCAGCGAGGCTTTTGACACCATCTCCCATAAGTTCCTCACAGACAAGCTGATGAAGTGTGGGCTGGATGACCAGACAGTGAGGTGGGTTGGAAACGGGATGAATGGCCAGGCTCAGAGGGTGGTGATCACTGGACAAAGACTAGTTGGAGGCCAGCAACTAACAGTGTACCCCAGAGGTCAGGGCTGGTTCCAGTCCTGCTTAACCTCTCCGTTCATGGTCTGGGTGGAGGCAGAGTATCCTCAGCAAGTTCACAGATGATACCAGACTGGGAGGAGTGGGTGACTCAATAGAGGGTGATGCTGCTGTCCAGAGGGACCTCAGGAGGCTGGAGAAATGGGCTGATGGCAACCTCATGAAGTTGAACAAGGGAAAGTGCAAAGTCCTGTACCTGGGAAGGAACAACCCCAGGCACCAGGATGTTCTGGGGACCATCTGTCTGGAAAACAGCTCTGCAGAAAATGACATGGGGGTCCTGGTGGGCACCTTGTTGAACATAAGCCAGAAATGTGCCCTTGCTGAAAGAAGGTGAATGGTGTCCAGGGCTGCAGCAGGAGGTTTCCAGCAATTCGAGGAAGGTGATCCTTCCCCTCTACTTAGCACTGGTGAGGCCACTGCTGGAGTGCTGGGTCCAGTTCTGGGTTCCCCAGTATGAAAGAAACACAGACATGCTGGAGAGAGTCCAGCAAACCATGATGAAGGGATTGGAGTATGTCTTCTACGAGGAAAGGATGCGAGATCTGGGGCTCTTTAGCCTGGAGAGGAGAAGGCTCAGGGTGAACTTATTAAGTTATATAAACATTTGAAGGGAAGGTGCAAAGAAGATGGAATCATGCTCTTCTCAGTGGTACCCAGTGAGAGGACCAGAGGCAATGGGCATAGACTAAAGCACGGGAGGTTCCCTCTGAACTTCAGGAAACACTTTTTCACTGTGAGGGTGACCAAGCACCGACACAGGTCACCCGGGGAGGTTGTGGAGTCCCCATTCCTGGAGATACCTCAAAAGATGTCTGGTCATGATCAGTAGCAACCATCTCTAGGTGGCCCTGCTTGAACAGGATGTCTGGACAAGAACCTCCAGAGGTTCCCTGCAAGCTCATCCATTCTGTGATTAAACGGCTTTCAGGGAGCAGTGTTTGGAAATCAGGATGGTGGTCTTGCTCAGGACAGTTAAGTATGCATGAGGAAACCACACACTCCAGTGGCAGAGCTTCAACAGGAGATCACTCATCTCACTGTCTCCTGCCTGCTGGGTGTCAATGTGTTAACAAGGCAATATACTGGGATCCCCGTCATAGCTCCATTACCTCCTCTGGTGACTCACTGCTTGATGGACATACTCCCCATGAGGCTTTGCTTTTCTCCTCAGCACTCAGGTTTCCCAGATGGTCCAAAACACCCTAACTCCACTTGCAAACTCCACAACCCACTGAGATGCCCTCAGACCCTGTCTGTTGGAAAATCCCAGGCCGTTCCACCAGACCTGCTGGCTCGCCCGCAGCTTCCAGAAGTTGTCTTGTTGATTGTTCTTAGCAACTGGAGGGAGAGGCTGGCACAGTACGGCGTGGCAGTCTTCTGGTATGCCTCCTGTTTGTAATCAGTGTCAGGGAATTAGTGGTGATTTACGAGTCGGGAGAGGCAGAGATGTGCTCTGCTTTCCTGGTGGAGCGCTCGGCAGCATCCTGGGGGGATAGCGAGGGTGATAAGGGAACCCTACTTAATGCAGCAGCAGCAGGGAGAGCGGGGACGTTGCATTTGGGGAATGTGCTGCCCTGTGGGGTTATTTTGGGCATTTTTAGCATTTTTGGGGTTCTTTTTATAGCAAGCCACCTGAACACTGTTCTCTTTGGATTAGCTCTTTCCTGTTTGCAATCAGGAGGACTGAACTTTTCAGCACCATGCTGGCATAAATCATTCTCCTGGCGAGATGGGTTTGATTAAAGTTGCAAAGACCAGTCAGGGGTGTCCATGTGCAGGTGTGAAGGCCTGAAAAAGAGAAAATAAAAACCTGGTCTCCACTCTGGCCTGGTTCCACGTCATACAGCATTATTGTGCCACGGCCTTCCTCTGGGAAAACAAAGCGGTGGACAAAAATGAGCTCTTGTTACACAAGGAGGGGACTGAGGGCAGCTGGAAATGTTGAGCAGATGTTGCGTTATTCCATGAGTCTTCTGCATAAAAATTAGAGTTTTTTAAGAGTTTGGTTGATTTCCTGATTTGTGCCCCTTTCTTCTGTGCCAGATTAGGATCTCTATATATGTGTGTGTGTGTAAACAGACATATGTATACATGCTTTTGAAAGGACAGCTTGGGGTTTCCTTCCCCTTTATTGGTGACAAAATGGAGGGGAAGAAAAGAGAGTAGAAAGACCGTGGGAGGTTTTCTGGTTCTGAGTTCTCATCTAGTCTTCAAAAATGTCCAGGGCTGCTATTGCTTCAGCCCCTGGGCACCTTGAGGGTCTCCATGGAACCTGTCTCCCTCTGTCAACACCTTTGGGGGCAGCTTGCAGATGCAGTCCAGATGTGGTGAGTAGCAGGAGAAAGGGATAATCACCTCCTTGGTGTCTCCTGGCTGTGCTGGGGATGAGCTCCCACCCCTGGGGCCATCCCAGCAGAGCTGTCCCCAGCACAGGCTGTCCCAGCAGCAGGACTTTGCTTCTGGTCCTGGTTTGGTGCTATCTGCAAGCTTGATGAGTTGCAATCCATCTCCTCCTCCAGACCTTCGGCGAAGCTGTTGCACAGGAAGCAGAGGTGTATTAAAGAGCTTGTTCTTTATCTCTGATGTCCTGTTTTTCTTCTAAATAGCTTCCACTAAACTTGTTATCCTTGAGGGGCTTGGAGGAAATGCTGTTAAACTTGCAGTGTTTAATGTGATTGGGTGAATCCCTTTGCACCGTGCGAGCACAAGGTTTGGGGTTATTTAAGAGGTGACATTCCTCTGCTCCTCCCCTGCCTTCAGGACGCTGGGAAAAACAGGTAGAAGGAGCTCAGCTGCTGCTGTAAATAAGCTGCTCTGCAAGGGTATGGGTTTCGGGTGGCCACCTTGCTGGGCACTGCTGCTCCCTAGGTGTGCAGGGTCCAGGTTCATGGAGCAGTGGATGTGACTCACCATCCACTTTTAGGAGAAGAAGTACTGTTAGGAGGTGTCCCAGCAGGAGTGGGCAGAGGGTAGCATAGGCTGGTCACCTTTATGGCTTTATGGAGAAGGACTTGACTCCCAATGGGCATGAGACAAAGACATCAAAATAAAACACCTGCCTAGAGCCTGTTTCCTCTCCATATCTTACCCCAAACAGAGGAATTTTGAGCCTTGAGACCTATCTGAAATGAGAAGGAGAAATGTTAGAAGGTTTTGCCTCTAACAGGATCCATACCAACAGCAGCACTGGGTTTGGAGCTGTGATTTCTCATATGCAGCGTTTAGCAAGGAAATGCCCCCTAGGCCCATCATTTACTGCTCAGTTGATAATGACACGGTGGGAACATCTAGATAATTGAATTGTCTCGGCAGATTTTGTAATTGTGGTTTATTGGACTCATTTATAGGCTGTAGATTAGCCTCCCATCTTAGCCTCAGAGGTATTCACTGAGCTCTTGCATCACTGGTACTGCTGCCATTCAGATGTGATGGAGGGGTCTCTCTCCCAGGGACCAGGAGTGTTTGTTGAGGTTGGGCTTTGGCCATGTGGCCAAGTACCAACTCTCTGAGAGGGTTTGTCCAACACTGCCAAGCTCTGCTGGCTTTCTTAGCCCTGCTCCTCTGGGGAAAACTGATGGGGTTTGATATGCAAAATCCTGTACAAGGGAAACTTCTGTGAGCTTCAGGAGTGAAATGTCAGGTGGTTTTTAATAAAATAATCAATTCCAGAAGTTGCCTATGAATGCTGTCTCCTGGGAAGGGAGAAGGATTGCTCTGAGAAGGGTTTTCTCTTGGATCATCTGGCTTCCTTCCCTTTCTTCCTCCCCAAAGGACAAGCCATGGGGCATGGCCTCGGATGCTCATGCTGGAGCTGTGGGTGCTGGTGCCTGCGGGATCAGCTGCCCACCTTGCCGATCTCTCCAGCCCCTCCGTGACATTGCTCCATGGATCCCTGGCCTGAGAGCAATTTAGTCCAAGCAACGTGGTCTAAATCATGGTTATGTCTGAGCTTCTTTGACCAGGAGCTGAGCTGTGCGTGACTAATTATCCTGAAGATCAACATGGCTATTTTGATTCCAGATTCATCAGTGCATAGATTGAGCCAGGGGATTAGCTGTGGTCTCCCTTGAGGGAGCTATTTTGGGGACATGGAGTGCTGCTGGCAGAGCCGGGGCTGCTGGAGTGGGCAGGCTGCTGGCTTCTCAACCATGAATGCATCAGCAGGACCTGATGATGTCTGTAGATATTTTTCCTGTGTGGTTTTGGCTTGTTGTTGGGCCACGGCCAGGAGGTGGCTTTGTGTGCTGGTTTGTATGTGGTTTTGGTGCACTGGACGACACTGAGCTGGACAGGGAACACTCAGAGGGCTGAGCAGTGCTGCAGCTGCGGGTGTCACTCCAGCCAAGCCAGGCGCCTTCATCCCAAATATATCTGCCCTGTGGAATGCCTCAGTATCTCTGGAGAATGCTTTCCCCTCGCTGCAGGCATCCTGCAGGAAAGGAGCTCACCAGTGTGTGTCTGACAGCTGCAGCCAGGTCCAGAAATGAGGGACGATGCTGCCAGCTCCCGGCATGCCTGGGACCCTGCCCTGCTCCTCCCCCCCAGGGATGCTCTCACAGCTGTC